TTCAGCGCTTTGCGACATATACATATTGTGAAGCACTGATAAAGTGTATATATATATATATTTTTTGTGCATTTTTCCCGTATAAAATATTTCGGTAACTCAGTCTTGATGTATACAGTTTTCGCTGACTGTTCTGCTGGCTTTTGTCATAGGTGGCCATTTTAAATGAGATGCATGTCTGCCATCATTTGATTATATGATTTCGTCTCTCTTCTGCCGCTTTAACTGTACTGCTAACAGGACAGCTTGAACACTTTGATGTAAAATTTATTGCTGCACAGCTTTCAACTTATAAATCCCAGCTTTCAACTTATAAATTATGCTTTTTGGCATATTCGAAGGTCTTTTCAATTATATAAATGCTATGCGCATTGTAGAAAAATGAGAAATAATAGAGTAGGAGATAAAGGATCAATTTGAGTGCCATGTACAAGAAGACATTTTGAAAAAAACGCTGGCTAGAAGGCCCCAGATGTTCCAGTGCAATCATGCGTTTTTGCACTAAACTTAAAGCTGCTGCTTTACATTTAACCTGTGCACTCACTGCCGTAAATCGCCGTAAATTTTTTGCATAAATATATTTCTTATCTGCAACTGAAGTGGAAATACATCTTTTTCAGTAATGGTGCAAATAGCTTTTTGCTAGCAAGGCCGTCGAAAGTTTTCTTTAGTGAGGTAGAACTGTTTAGAAACTGACCCAATGGTGATCTTAGCTTTTAGCATACAAAGTTCGGCAGTGGTAATTTACCCTATAGTCTTAATCTTCGTTCCTAATGAGCGATTGATAAATTTCCATTTTTTCGTTTAAATCGATGGCAATTTGTAACTTCCACCTCGAGTAACTTGAATTTTTATGCTATTACTGGGATTCTTTATAAATGTTTTGAACGGGAAATAATTCGATATTTCCGTCACGGGACAAAAATCCTTATCAAGAAAAAAACAAATTTGTGACTCACGAAGTTGTTATCTGCACGTAATCGTGCTTAAAAACACTGGTGTCATTTTGAGGATCAACTTGAAGTTACCAGTGTTATTTTTTTTTTTTTTTGCTTGGGAAGCCTTCAGCCGAAGCAGTAAGAGCCAGGAACATTGGGATGGCAAAGAAGAGAAAGAATAGAAATAATTATGTTTCGTTCATTTCTGTTTTAGCAGAAGGCCCTATATTCTTGCTAATGTGATCATAATTTTCTGATGTTGTGTGCAGCATGTTCGGGCTGCTACAATTTTGAATGCTTGAAAAATGCTTTCTGTGTTTGTTTGCAGAGTTGGAAGCTCGGGCAATCTCGTTTGTCGCTCAACGAAGGGTTCGTTATCGATAGGGCATCAGGCATGCCGCAAGCTGTGCTTCCGGCGCCCGCGTTTGTGCCTCTTCCACCGCCAACACTGAAACAATTTAAAAAGTGGCAGAAGAAGCAGAAGAAGCTGTTGAAAAAAATGGGTTCCATGGCGCCCGCAATTATCCCTCCGCCAGTGGTCCCTATTCTACCATATGCGCGAGCTTTCTCTGTCGACAATTTGTCCAGGTTCTTCTTTTGTGAAATTATGTGTTGTCAGTGTGGATTCAGGGTTCAACGCTCAGCCACCTGTTTCCAGTATTGTTGTATGTAGTAGGAATGGGTGAACAGTGACTGTTGCCATCTACGGGATGGCGGCATGCAAGGATAGTAGAATACATGACTTGAAAAGACGAAAGTTGATTAGGAAGGCTAGTAGATTCCTAAAAGCAGTCGAAATGAGATTAAGTCCCCTGTGCCCTACTGTATCTCTTGACCTATGATTTTATGCAAAATTTTTAGCTATTTTTATGACCGATGAGCCAAGTAAGCAAAAATTTTGGTTTTCATGCGATGCGTTTACCTAATAATTTTGATTAAATAGCTTAAAATTGATTTTGTAGCTCTGCTGTATCGTGACATATGAGGACCAGATCCAGACCAGTCTTATATTTCAGAACAGTGCGGGCAGTTCTAAATTTTACTTTCACGGTAACTTAAATGGCCTGAAATTCGTCCTCGGAATTCTCTGTTTTTTCAGCCGGTCAACGCATGCCCAAGCACGGGTTGATCATAAGACTTCAGAGCAAATCATGCCTTCACTGCGTACTTTGATTACGCTGAACCAGAATATTGCGGCACATGGATTGTAACGCATAACACACGCATAACTATATCAGTTTTGCACACGCATGACTAT